ACAGGAGGGGGGCAGTGTGACAGGTGGTGGGCACTGTGACAGGAAGGGGGACATTGTGACAGGAGGGGGGCATTGAGATAGGAGGGGAGCAGTGTGATAGGATGGAGGCAGTATGATGGGGGGGCAGTGTGACAGTATGACAAGATGAGGGCTGTATGACAGGAAGAGGGCAGTATGAGGGGGCAGTGTGACAGGAGGAGGGCAGTATGAGGGGGGCAGTGTGACTGGAGGGGGAGGGCAGTATGGGGGGGCAATGTGACAGGAGGGAGACAGTGTGAAGGGGGCAGAGTGACAGGAGGGGGGCAGTATGACAAAAGCAATGTGATAGGAGGGGGACAGTATGACTGGGGGCAGTGTGACAGGAGGGAGGCACTGTGACAGGAAGGGGGGATATTGTGATAGTAGGGGGCGCTGTGACAGGAGGAGGGCAGTGTGTGGGGCGCAGTGTGACAGGAGAGGGGCAGTGTGAAAGTATGGGGGCACTGTGACAGAAGGGGGGGCAGTATGAGGAGTGGTGTGACAGGAGGGGGGTAATATAAGAGTAGGACACCTTGACACACTATGCTGGCTATTTGACTCAGGAATCTACTGTGGCAGAGAATGTGCAGGCTACCAGGTGGCAGGGGCCTGGGGGCAGGAAAGCATTTCTCCTAACTTACCTAGCAGCTGGAGCTGCCGCGAGGCAAGAAGCAGGAGCCAGAGTAGGGGGGGTGGAGCTGGCAGTACAAGCTGACTGTCCCTTGTCAACATCACATCGCATCTTGGCTCATGGCTGTCAGAAACAGTGAGCACCAGGCTGGATAGGAGAAGCAATGGGGCAGCACATAGAAGAATTGATTTTCTCCATTTTTTTCTCCTGGCTTCTGGAGGACTTTCAGCAGCTGCAGGGGCTGTCGCCCCCCCATTCAGATGTAGGCAAATGTGATAGGGGAACCTCACGGGCCCCTGCAGCATGGGACCAGGTCACAAATGTGACCCCTAAAGTTACGCCACTGGTCTTAGTTTCCAGACAGTTTATACATTCAGCTGTGAACTATTCCACTCCACTTCACTGATGCATGTTGACTCATTCCTTTTCCTTTTCAAGGCTTCCCTAAAAACAAAGTCCTGGTAATTAGGGTTCGGAGGCTCTCTCCCACCTAAAGTCTCTCTGAGCCTCTAAATTTCAGGTCCCAATAAGGACTTACCAATGCTGTGAGAAATGTAAAGCAGTCCTCTTCTCTCCAACTGGACTACCCTGGAACCCTTCAACCTGCACGGATGAGAACTCCTGAGTACTCAAAAACATCTCTTGAACTCCCTCTTAAAGGGGCCACAACCCAAATAGTGTGGAAATCTATCTCCCATCCAGAACCCATCCCTGGCATCCTGTACAACAGCTTGGGGTTAAAAGTACCCTTCCAGTGTTTGTAGATGACACAGAGCAGTACTTGAAACCAGCCCTTTGTAGGATGTCTCCAACTTACAAATTCCCTAAGACCTGAACAATATTTCAAGAATTCTTCTGTAGTAAAAAGGTTGAGAAAGGCTAATATCAGAAAACATGGGATCGTGGATCAAATAACCACATGCAAGGCCAACTGGCAGTGTCTAGAATGAGGAAGAACCTTTTAATAAAAGAAGCATAGACTTGAGAGAGACATAACCTTTCCCTTTCATCTTGCAAGTGCAGTTCAGTTTTGGGCTCTAGTTCTCAAAAAGATGCTGTGGAACTGGAAAGAGTGCAGTGAAAAAAAAATGTATTGCATCATCAAGAAGCGATGATTAAGGGGGATTACAATCACCTTGTATTAATACATAAATTACCCATACAGTATATTTACTGAAAAAGTGCTCACTTTAAGGTCACCACTAAAGACATAAGGGCACTCCTTGCAGTGATTTGAAGACTAACAGTGGGGACCTACCTACCACATGAAATGACCAAGTTGGCACACTCCACGTCATTCCACCCATCATACCTTTATTTCTTCAAACAGCTGAAATTATGGGATTGTTTTTATATTTTTTTACAAAACATATATGGATCCTAATGCCAGAAATCCAGTCAGACACTGCCTATGCAGGAAGTGACCAGTTAGGCACAAGTTTTTTGCATTCCTTATTTTCAGTCTGTTCCTAAAGCAGAGCTCCAGTCAAACTGAAAAAAAAAGTCAACAGCTACAAAAAACAGACACTCACCTGTCTCACGATCCAGCGGTGAACTCACCACAGCAGGTTTCGGCCGTCCTGTGTCCTCGGCATCTTACGTGTGGGCACCCTGCTGCAACAGTTTGAGGCGTACTGCAGTAAGTAGCACTGCACCTTGTGAAAGATCTCATAATCTTTTAGGTCCTGTCATGTGTCCTAGAAGACTACAGGGAGGGAGGGGGGAGGAGAGCTTCTGATCGCCTAGGCGATCGCAGTGGAAGTGAGAATGAGAACCTGTCAAATTTGGATAACAGCTCTCAACCAGCTACCCAAAGGTGCCAATTCCTCATGGGGAGCGGGGGACCAGTACTTTCCCTTTTCGGTGGCGCTCAACTTTAACTTTACCATAGCAAGGTATATTTCCTAAAGTGACCTCATTGCTAAAGCCTGAGCTCTGAGATCCAGAACATCCCCGATACTCAGAAAAAGGCATGGGTGGAAGTGTTCAGCCTCATACCAAATTGGGACCTCCTGAGTGTCAGACACAAGAAGAAATCAATCTCAAATAGCCCTAGCATGTTATTTGTAGGCCCTTACAGAAAGTAAGGTCCTTGATGGCTGAGTTTCACATAAATGAATATTATGAAAAGAGCTGCATACATTAATGGCCCAGTGTAAATGCTTCCCATGTAAACGAAAGCACTTTATGGACCATTAGAGGCATCTTCTTAATGCAGGACTATTCTGCTAGGAAGAGCCTGTGTTGATATTAGTATTTTATTATGCCCATGTGCATGGGCCCTAAAGGTATTTTGCCTTCTGTTGAATTAACTGCAAGTTAAGGATTCTAAAATTGCACAACTTTTTTCTTTTTTGGCTAAACCTTACTGATGTGTTTTTTCCAGCTAATATTTAGAAATATATGTGATAAAACCTTTAGTGTTTTAAAAATAGCTAAATTGATTAAAGTGGAACTAAACTTTGCATGTGGCTAAATCTTTGCAAATCCAGCGGAAAGATGGATATGGATTTAGTAGATACAGTGTGATTTGTATGATCTGGTGGCACACCATAGCTACCATATCATTTGCTTTTAAAAATGAACTAAAAAAACATAATTAATACAGTAATTAATATGTCTCTAAAACTGAGGTGATAATATTCCCCCCCCTCATTTACTCCTACATGACTTTTCCATCAAGATCAATAATACAACTATCAGTCCCTCCTCTCAAGCCAGGGTTCTAGGTGTAATCCTGGACTCTGACCTATCCTTTTGGCCCCAAATCCAATCGCTGTCAAAAACTTGTAGACTTCACCTCCTCATTCCCTCCCTTGTTATCTCTCGCCTTGACTTTTGCAACTCCCTTCTCATAAGCCTACCTCTCCTTTTCAGTCTTTTATGAATTCTGGTGCCAGGATCGTCTACCTTACCAACCACTCAGTGTCTGCCACCCATCTCTGCTAATCCCTCCACTGGCTTCCTATTGGCCAGTGAATTAAAATCAAAATACTAACAACAACATACAAAGCCATCCACAACTTTGCCCCAAGTTACATCACGAATCTTGTCTCCAAGTATCATCCAAATCATCCTCTCATGATACCCTGCTCTCAAGCTCCCTTGTCTCTTCCTCCCATGCTCGTCTCCAGGACTTTGCCAGAGCCTCTCCCATCCTCTGGAACTCTCTACTTAAATCTCTCCAGCTATCCCCTACTCTGGCTGCCTATAGGTGATCTCTGAAAGCTCATCTCTTTAGGGAAGTCTATCACACCTCTGAATAGAAATCTATCACTTCCATCAGCTCATCCCCCAAAGTTATAACCTTTTTTACTACTTGCCCCACCCTATTAGATTGTAAGCTCTTTTGAGTAGGGCCCTCTTAATCCTCTTGTTTTGATTATATTGTAGCTGTACTGTCTCCCTTTATATTGCAAAGTGCTGCGCAAACTAATGGCGCTATATATAATAATAATATAAAAAAAAAATAAAAGCACAAACATATCAACTTTTAGAACCTTAAAAAGTTTATCCTGTTTATGTATCATAATATGTGGTCGGTTGTAGACAGACTGCACTTAAAGCAGTAGTAAACCCCGCTTGGACATTTGTACCTACAGGCAAGCTTATAATAAGGTTTACCTGTAGGTACAAGGAATATCTCCTAAACATACAACGTTTAGGAGATATTCTCTTTCTGCAGTCGGTGATGCCACCAGCATATGCGCTCTGAAGGGATGGCATTTAGAGCTCTATGCTGTGGCAGTGACTCCTGTTTGCATGCGCCGGAGTTACGTCACTGTGGCACAGCCATTCAAAATGGCTGGAGCCCACGAGCCTGAAAGGATGACTGGTTGAAGATGGAAGCCCTGTCAGCGGTGATAGCATGCCACTGGAGGGCTTCCTTTTAGGGTAAGTCTTTCATAATGTGTTAGTATGTGATGCATTCTAGCACATTATGACATTAGCTTGCAGGGGACTGGATTTTTTTTTTTTTTTACACAGAGTTTACTACCACTTTAACTTGAAGTGTCAGTCCCTTTTTTTCCTGAATATAACCTGGTGCTTAGTGGAGAAAGACAGACAAATGATTCATTGTTAAAATAAATATGAACCACAACAATGGACTTTGTGACCCTGTAGCTTTCATTCCTCTTGGTGCCTTCTTGTTTGGGTAAGAAACTACTGCAAGTGCACACAGGGGTTTGTTTTTTATACAATATTTCGTGCGCTATCAACCCCCAGCCATGATAAACATTTTGTTACAATGTATTACTTCTAAAAAGAAAGTTTCATTTGAATATTTACAATTATACCTTCATTTATTAAATTAGCTAGCAGTAAATACATCACTAGGCTTATTATATTATTATAGGTTAGAATTCATTCCAATCCAATGTTTTATCAATTGATGAGCAATAGCTTTCCTTGGTGGTACAATCAAACTTTGCTGGTTACCTTTGACCAAAGCTTCTACAACCTACAAAAAAGAAGAGAACAAAAAAAAGCTGTAAGGGGTCGTACTTTAGAAAATGAAATGTTGTAAAACCAACAGCTAGGTATTATTGAGTACTTTCTTAGGTGTAACCATACCTAGAGAAATTCTGTATATGTCTGGCTATCTGAGAATTCTAACCACTTGTCTGGTGGAACTGTGTTTTGGCAATATCTGCATGGCAGGCACAGGAATTATGAAAGAAACATGCCTTACAAATAGCAGAGCTACTTGAAGTACCTTTTTTGGTGAAACATAATGCTTGTAAGGTCTGCTAAACCACATTACCACTGTTTGAACAGACAGAGTTTTGAATAGAATGGACAAACACTTCTGCTCTGGCCATTACCATGCACAATGATGTAGGTGGGAAGGCCAATCGGTTTGGGATGGGAATCTGCTCTTTGCAGGCAAGAAAGGGTTAAACAGAATATTATGTAATAACAGAGTTTACTCAAACTGGTGATAAAGCGTGGTGAGTAAAGAGAAACATTAGGGCGATTTGCGGCATCTGCGTTAAGAACAAATTCTCGCCTGAAGTAAAGCTTTGATTAAACAACTAAAATGTCTCCTGGCTTTGCCGTCCAACTATAATAATATTTTCAGTTAAAGAATAAAAAGGTAGTGTTTTACACACTATCAAATCTCAAGAGCCAACAAAAGAATACATATCATGCTGGAGAGGCCTGCCTGCCTGCCTTTAGAAACATACATTTTATGATTGCTGTGGAGTAACTTCCAAAGTATAGAATCTAAAACATTGTCCCATGTGGCCTGCAATGGCTGTGATATTTCTTGCAAAACCAGCGTAATCAAAAAAGAATCAATACAAGCTGGAAATGAAATTGAACTTTACCTGTTCTCTGGTGAACCAACGAGCATCTTCTATTTCAATCTTGTCAACTGTAATATCTGTAGATATTGCGACACCCAGGCAACCAATCATCAGGGAGGAAGGCATAGGCCAAGGCTGGCATGAAATGTACTGAACGTAACCCCTTAACTCCGCTCTCCTCTAGCACTTCTCTCCGAACAGCATCTTCTATGGTTTCTCCTATGGAGAACAAATAACAATATGCACATTCCTACACTTCAAAGTTGATTGAAAAACTCTAACATCACTCAGGTACAAATGGCATTCACTATTCACATAAATGACACTTTCGATAACTCTAGCAAATCAAGCTGGAAGAGGTGCCTTAATCTCTTGAAGAAAGCAAGGATTTCCCTTGCTGCCTCCTTGAAAGGGGAGTATTTATCTTCTTCATTTGCAGGTCATCAATTATATTTGCAAAAGGGTCACTTTAAAACATAGATCTTAACCACACTTTGTTGTTCTCTTATTTTTTCTAATTCTTTGTATAGAAAGAAGGTATATCATTTGTAGATAAAAACAGCTAAAGATTAAGGTACTTGGTGATTTTAAAGTGGAAAATTCTGAATAGTTTCAGGTAGTACAGTTTTTTTGTCATTACTATAGCATTTACCCATTACCAACAATCCTGATAAAAGATGGCAGACATGAGAGCAATTAGCCACACAAAGGGGTTGATTTACTAAAGAAGCAAAAACGTGTTTACTTTCCAAAGCGTATTTTCACTTATCTTAGTGAATGAGGTGATACAGATTGATAAATTACTTTACAAAGAAATATTATGTGCATTATTTTGTGCAATTATGTCCAAGAAGATAACAAAAAATTAATTTTTTGCTTGTACATGATTGCAGTCAACACAACTTCACCTTAATCACCAAGCTAAATACATTTTCTCTTTGCAAAGTGAATTTTCATTTAGCTTTCTGAATGTGCAGACTTACTGATTGAGGTAAAAGTATGCGGAAGCATCTAATCATGTGAAAGCAAGAATATATATTTTTAAAATTATCCTTGCATATGATTTTACATTTTAATTCACTTTGTAAGTGACCATGCTCTACTTCTTTAGCAAATCAACCACAGAGTTTAGTGGTCTATTTTCAGCATACACTACAGAGTTACACTGAGAGTAAAGAAATAGTAAAGCACACTCACTGTGCTGCATTACTAAGATGAAATAAGAGAATCCCATATAACAAACCAATATGGCTGCCTTCTCACCTATACAATTAAAAACCGCACACAGGAAAAACATTTTTTTAAGGCATTAGCACACATTGATCGTGTTTTTTTTTTTACATTAAATTGACTGCAAGGACATTAAAGTGTATGTAAATGTAAAACAATTTCAGTTTGATTTATTAATGGCAAATAGGCTGTTCACACTAAAAAAAACACTCTTACAATGGTCCATTGAGTCCTTCTCAGTAGCTAGGGAAAACAAAATCAATGAACACAACAAACAATATGTATTATAATACATTTTATTTACTGGCTCCGCTCTTACCAGGTTCAATGAATCCAGCTAAACAGGAGAACATGCCAGGAGGAAATCTCTTCTGCCTCCCCAAGAGACAATGGTTTCCATCAGGGTGAATGATAAGCATAATTACAACAGGATCTGTGTAAATTAAAAATAAAAAGACAATATACCACTATTTTCAAGAATTTCTCACAATATAGAGGTTTAGTCCCTGTTTGTTGGAAGGACTATAGTGAGATTAGGCTGCTTGGTCAAGCAACTTTTTAACTCCATGTAAGCAATGCAAGAATTGCTCAGATTAGTTAGGTTTGTGACTATTTCTGTGTGTAATGCCAACTTTACATTTTAATTGGCTAAATATAGATAATGCCACATCTAAAACTCAGGGGATGTTTAAAAAAAAATTAGTACAAGACAAGGGTGAAATATATACACACTTCCATCGACGCAAAGGAGTAATTGCACACCGTTACTGATTCTATGCTGATTTCAGGTGAACAGCTACACACACAGTTAAGATACATATATGGTAACAGTCTGATCTGCTAATGGAGTTTTAGTTTTGTTCAGCCACCTCTGTAGTGATTCATACAACTCTACCAGACAGCACCACCCAGGTTTGCCAGCACTTTCTCTGCTAGAGTTAAAGAACACAATGGTTTCACCTTCCCACCTACAAATCATCTGTTCTCCAATCAGCTTGTTTCTGTTAGCATATGTGCATGTAGCATAATACTTCATGACTTCATTTTCCAGCAGGACTTGGCACCTGCCCACACTGCCAAAAGCACCAAAACCTGGTTCAATGACCGTGGGATTACTACTGTGCTTGATTGGCCAGCAAACTCGCCTGACCTAAACCCCATAGAGAATCTGTGGGGCATTGCCAAGAAAAAGATGAGAGACATGAGACCTAACAATGCAGAAGAGCTGAAGACTGCTATTGAAGCATCCTGGTCTTCCATAACACCTCAGCAGTGACACAGGCTGATAGCTTCCATGCCACGCCGCATTGAGGCAGTAATTGCTGCAAAAGGGGCCCAAACCAAGTACTGAGTACATATGCATGCTTATACTTTTCAGAGGTCCGATATTGTTCTATGTACAATCCTTGTTTTATTGATTGCATGGAATATTCTAATTTTCTGAGATTGTGGATTTGGGGTTTTCATGAGCTGTAAACCATATTCATCACAATTATGACAAATCACGGCTTGAACTATCTTGCTTTGCATGTAATGAGTCTATCTCATATATTAGTTTCACCTTTTAAGTTGCATTACTGAAATAAATGAACTTTTGCACGATATTCTAATTTTTCAAGTTTCACCTGGAAGTCCAGCCAGTTCAACCACCTTCCTTTAGTCTCCACCTCTCTAAACCCCTTTTGCAGCTGAGAACAGAAGTCATTGGATCACTTATATAAACAGGTATTTATAATGGGATATATATATATATATATATATATATATATAATATACACACACACACATACATACACACAGGTAGTTCATATATTTGTACACAGGCACAATTTTAGATTTTTTTTTCAGGTAGTTATCAAAACATATTCAAGCTATAGTTATGAAATGGACATGGGCTGAAAGTGCACACTCTCAGGTTTAATTTGAGGGCATGTACATCCAAATTGGAGGAAGGGTTTAGGAATTACAGCTCTTAAGAATAGCCATCCCCCCTTTTTCAAGGGACTAAAAGTAACTGGACATTTTTAATATTTTGTTGAGAATCCTTTACTGGGAATGACTGCCTGAAGTCTGGAACCCATGGACATCACCAAAGACTGGGATTCCTCCTTTCTGATGCTTTGCCAGGCTCTAATTGCAGCTGTCTTCAGTTGTTCTTTGTTTGTGGGTCTTTCTGCCTTTAGTTTTGCCTTCAGCAAGTGAAATGCATGCTCAATTGGGTTGAGATCAGGTTATTGACTCGGCCATTGCAGAATATTCCACTTCTTGTCCTTCAAAAGCTCCAGGGTACTATGGTACCCTGATTGCCATTAGGAATTGGGATTAAATCAATGGACCCATTGTCAGACCCTATGCTGGTGCAGTGGGTCCTGGGTTCCTCCTGGTGCATGACAATGCCCGGTCTCATGTGGCGAGAGTATGCAGGCAGTTCCTGGAGGATGAAGGAATTGATACCACTGAATGGCCCCCATGCTCACCTGACCTAAATCCAATAGAACACCTCTGAGATATGTTTCGGTCCATCCAACGCCGCCAGGTTGCACCTCAGACTGTCCAGGAGCTCAGTAATGCCCTGGTCCAGATCTTGGAGGAAATACCCCAAGGCACCATCGTCTCATTAGGAGCACGACGTTGTCAGACATTCATGCAAGCACATGGGGGCCATACAAACTACTGAGTACCATTCTGAGTTGCTGCAATAAAATTGCAGCAAAATGGACTAGCCTGCTGCGTTATTTTTTTTTTCACTTTGATTTTCGGGGTGTCTTTGAATTCAGTCCTCTGTAGATTGATCATTTTCATTTCCATCAAACGATGGGGCATCCTTACATTCCTAACACATTACCCAGTCCATATCAGTATAGATATCCAGCATGATATTTTTTCCCCATTGAGATCTGATGTGTTTTTAAAGTGTTCCTGTAATTTTTTTGAGCAGTGTATATGCTAACCCTGCTCACCACAAGCAATCTGTGGATTAAATATACTCATTTGTTTTTTTTTTTATACAGGACTTTGGCACTATATAAACTATTTCTAACTTCAGTGTATATGTTTTTTACTTTAAAACATCTCTTTTGTACCTAATGGCATTTTTATATCTTTTTCCTTAACCATTATAAGACTAGCACAGAAGTCCTTTGATAAGGTTATTGTGTTGTTTGATGCTTGTATACCAAGCAAAAAATGTATTAACAACAACCCCATTATTTGCTTTATTTTTTAAAGTAAGGATGTTTACTTAGCAAATTGAAAATTCACTCTGCAAAAAGAAAGTTCCCTTAGCTTCGTAAAGAAGGTGCAGCTGTGTACACTTTAAATACCAAACCATCTGCTAGGAAACAAAAAAATAAATAATATGCACATGAGTATGTGATTCACCTTATTTACTAAGGGAAATTTTTCTCTGCAACCCTTTTGATTGAGGTGAAGCTGTAGCTGTTCCAATCATGTGTGATTCAAAGTAAAATTGTGCCTGTGTCCAAATATATATGGACCTAACTGTATATATATATAGTATATACACAAATATTTGCCTTGCATTTCTATTTTAAACTGCATGGCTTGTTTAACCTCCCTAGCGGTATGATTATTTCAGATTTTTGGTGCTGAAAGCGGTACCATTTTTTTGCATGGAAATATGTATTTTTTTAATTGTAGGCCTGTAATTTTTAGGAAAAACTCACTGAAATCTGTCCGAACAAGAGTCTAGTAAACATCCCGGGTATGATAAAATTTGAAACACAAAATCATAAATTATAATTTAATAAATAATAATAAAAATAATATAAAAATAATAAAAAATTTAATTCAATAATATAATCAAACCAAAAACACTGAAATTTGAAATATAGCGCCAAGTTCGCACATTGCTGAGCTCAGTCGCAAAATCGTTTTCAGTGTCTGATGACGAATTTCCCCACGAATCATTATCACTCAATTCTGCAAGTGGTTCTGATTTACTATCGCTGTTCTCTAGCTGATCTAAACCGCTTTTGACCTAAAGGGACACTTTTTGGATGCATGGACGTTTCTCAGTTTCCAGGCAGAAAGAACAGACAAAATGCAGGCAGGGCGCAGGACAAAGGACTAGGAACAAAATGTATGTGAAATTGGTTGAGACAGCAATGTTTTACTATGTAAAATGTAAAAAAAAAAAAAAAAGACATTTTTTAAAATTTTTAAATTTCCCGCCGCCGGCGGCGGCGGCGCCCGTACGTCCCGACGTCACAGGAACAGGACACAGAAGCCGGATGCCGGCATCAGCCGGAGGAGATGGCCGGGGACGCTGCAGGGGACACATCGTGGGAGCGCAGGGTAAGGTAAGTGAAGAACACATGCTGGAGCAGTGCCGCATGGTATTCCCGAGTGTAGCTCGGGGTTACCGCTTTTGGTACTGAAATGTTACCACGAGCTACACTCGGGAATACCGCTAAGGAGGTTAATCGCATCCCGCCCGCCATATAAGGAAATGACAGACAGGCGGCGGTTTTCTTGTTCTGGGATGTCCTCCCACTCTAACTGTGCGTGCGTGCCCCGGGGGCACACAGAGTGGCAATCCGTGGTATGCTGTGTCCCCCGGGACACAGCGGATCACCGATCACTGTAAAGAGCCAATGACGATGGCTCTGTCATGTGATCAGCTGTGTCCAATCACAACTGATCACATGTAAATAGGAAATGCCGGTTATCGGCGATCCTCTCTTCCCGCTGACAGCTCACGAGAAGAGGAGAGCCGGTAATTATTATTCCTCAGAGAGGGCATTTACACTGATCATCAGGGCACTGATGATCAGTGGAGCCCCATCAGTGCCACCTGTCACCCATGTCCACTGTACCCATTAATGCCACATACCAGTGCCCATTAGTGCACATCAATGCCACATATCAGTGCCTACCAGTGCACATCAATGCCACATATCATTGCCCATCAAACCTGCATTTCAGTGCCGCCTATCAGTGCTGCTTATTAGTGCCAGTCAGTGCCGCCTATCAACGCCAGTCAGTGCTGCCTATCAGTTCCGCCTATCAGTTCCATATATGAGTGCTGCCTTTCAGTGCCCATCAGTGAAGCCTGTCAATGCCCACAAGTGATGATGCCTGGCAATGCCCATCAGTGCCTTCTGATCAGTGCCGCCTATCAGTGCCTATCACTGCAGCCTCATTAGCGCACATCAGTGAAGGAGGAAAAAATTACTTATTTACAACATTTTATAACAGAAACTAAGAAAAACTTTTTTTTTTTTACATTTTCAGTCTTTTTTAGCTTGTTTATCAAAAAATAAAAACCCCAGTGGCTGTTAAATACCACGAAAAGAAAGCTCTGTCTCAAAAAAATGATAAAAATTTTGTTTGGGTACAGTGTTGCAAGACTGCGCAATTCAAAGTATGAGAGCGCTGAAAGCTGAAAATTGGCCAGGGCAGGAAGGGTGT